TAGTGTAGACATACCCTAAGTGAATAAGGGTCTCGCCACCTTTGAAGTGTAGCAACAGACCAAAGGCTCTTGCTACACTTGAAGGGCAAAAGTGCTTCGTGGAACATGGGGCCAGCTGGGTACTTAACCAGTCCCTCACTGACGCTGTGGTTCCCACGGCATTTCAAAGCAGCAGCCCCAAAGGGAGCCCAGAATCAGTAGGGGAGTACCCAGATGACCCTGGGCTCCACGCAGCGCTGTCACTTTGAAACGCCGCAAGCAGCCCGGGACCAGCCAGGGATTTGGGCTCCACATAGTGTTTGAAAGCAGCCGACCCCGGGTTCCATGCGACGCTGCCGCTTTGAAGCTTCCCCTCCTCTTGCCCTCCCCCTGGCTGCCTCTTAATGATAGAGGCAGCAAGGGGTGGGGGAAGCAACTGGTCGAGTAGTTGAGTAGTTGTTCACATCCCTACTCCATGTGGCTCTGTCTTCTGGAGGGAGGAGGAAGCTTCACGAGGTTGCCCCACCCCCAACCCAATCCTCAGCTTCTATAAATTGGGAACAACCAGCCAAAAGGAGTTGAGAGACTGGCCGAGGGGATGGGGTAAGCAGAAACCTCTCTCCTCTCTTGGGGCTGGGAGTCACATGGAGGGAGCTTCCTGCAGTTTCAAGTGGTCTGGGGCTGCACCAGGCAGGGAGCCCAGCCTGCCTTGGGGGTGCTGCAGGGCTGCTGGCCAGCAGACACGTAGGTAAGTGCCTCTCAGCCAGAGCCTCCTCAGGGACCTCTGAGTCTCCTGCACCTCAACACCTCAACACCATCCAAACCCTCTGCACCTCCCTGCCCCAGGTCACAACTCCCTCACAGACCATATCCCCTCCTATACCTCTTCCCCAGGCCAGATTCTCTCCCGCATCCAGACTCCCTCCCTGACCCTACACACCAATCCCCCGACCCAGGTCACAACCCCTCTTCATCCAAACTCCCTCTCAGATCTCACACTCTCTTCTGCACCCCTTACTCTATGTGCCCTGCTGCACCCAACCTCATCCTAGACCCCCACAGATAAATGAAGCCCATGTCCACTATGCAACATCTAGGAGTGGTCCCCGCCAAAAGTGATGCCCACTCCTGTAATAGAGAATGGGGGAGATGAGAACGGTGTTTTCAAAACATACGGTAAGAAGATCTTTTCCATTCCTGACTACTGGATTTGTAGACAATCTGGTTCTATTCGATATTTTTCACGATAAAGAAAGGGGGAGGAGAGAATCTGTAAATGGTTTTTTTTAAACAGCTGGGTGAAAATGAGAAATGAGACCTAAGGAGGAAAAATTTGACAGATCTTTGCTGATGAGTTTAAGGAACCACAATGGGGGGGCCTAGCAGAGTTTCTGGGTTAAGACTCTGGCATGGGAAGCTCTTGTGTATCTGTTTCAAGTTGTTTTCATCTGGCTTCTAACCTTTGTCCTCCTTTGGCACCAGCAGCAGGAGGGTGGGGCTGTGCCCGCTGCAACCGGGTTTCCCTCTGCCAGGTCACACTTCCCTCTTTCAGCTGCAGGCGCACAGCTGGCCGGGGAAGATGCCGCTGCAGGCTGCCCCTGGGTTACTGTGGCTCTGGCAGATTGTGCCCTTTCAGACACTGGCCGTGTTCTTGGGCCTGTTCCTGCTG